ATGGGACTGAGAGTGGTGGTCCTGGACGAGGGGTGGTGGTCATGGACTGAGGGTGGTGGTCCTGGGGCTGGGGATTGTGGCTGTGGGGCTAGGGGTGGTGGTCCTGGGGCTGGGGTGGTCATGGGACTGAGGGTGGTGTTTCTGGACTGGGGTGGTGGTTCTAGGTGGTGGTCATGGTCTGGGGATGGTGGTCCTGGGGCTGGGGCTGGTGGTCATGGGCTGGGGTGCTGGTCCCGGACTGGGGTGGTGGTCCCAGACTGGAGTGCTGGTCCTGGACTGGGGTGGTGCTGCTGGGCTGGCATGGTGATGCTGGGCTGGCATGGTGATCTTGGGCTGGAGGTGGTGGTCGTGGGCTGGAGATGATGATCCTGGGGTCAAGGTGGTGGCTGTGAGGCTGGGGGTGGTGGTCGTAGTCTGGGGTGGTCGCCATGGGCTGGGGGTGGTCCTGGGGCTGGGACTAGTGGTCTTGGGCTGAGGGGTGGTGGTCATGGGACTGGGGATGGTGGTCCTGGAGCTTGAGGTGGTGGCTGTGGGACTGGGAGTGATGGTCGTGGGCTGGGGTGGTGGTCCTAGGTTGGGGGTGGTGCTCTTGGGCTTGAGGTGGTAGTCCTGGGGCTGGGGGTAGTCCTGGGGCTGGGGTGGTGGTCTTGGGCTCGAGGTTGTGGTCCTGGGGCTGGGGACACACAGGTGCTGAGAGCACGTTCAGGCCTTAGGGCTGTGCTGGGCTCGCTGTGCTGCCTCTGGGTTGTCGTGGCTGCAGGGCAGAGAGAGGGGGAAGTGGAGGGGAATTAAAGGCTGGGAGGGTTGGGGTTGTTCAGGCTGTGGTACCCCCTGACCTGCCCTCCCACAGGATGCCTGGGATCCAGGAGTACCTGCAGCAGCCCCTCGTGAACGGGCTGCGGGACAAGGCCTCCTACGTGCGCAGAGCGGCCGTGCTGGGCTGTGCCAAGATGGTGAAGCTGCAGGGGGACTGCGAAGTGGGTAAGGGGCTCTGAGGGGCTGTGCTCCTGGGCTGAGGGGGGTGGTTGCTCAGGGTGGTGGTCGTCCTGGGGCTGGGGACACACTGAGAGCATGTTCAATGCTCCTCGTGGCTGTGCTGGACTCGCTGTGCTGCCTCTGGGTTGTTGTGGCTGCAGGGCAGAGAGAGGGGGAAGTGGAGGAGAATTAAAGGCTGGGAGAGCTGGGGGTACTCACCTGGAGAAGAGAAGGCTCCAGGAAGACCTTAGAGCCCCTTCCAGTTCCTGAAGGGGCTCCAAGAGAGCTGGAGATGGACTTTGGACAAGGGATGGAGTGACAGGACAAGGGGGAATGGCTTCCCATTGACAGAGGGCAGGGTTAGGTGGGATATTGGGAAGGAATTCTTCCCTGTGAGGGTGGGGAGGCCCTGGCACAGGTTGCCCAGAGAAGCTGTGGCTGCCCCATCCCTGGAAGTGTCCAAGGCCAGGTTGGATGGGGCTTGGAGCAACCTGGTCTAGTGGAAGGTGTCCCTGCCCATGGCAGGGGGTGGAATGGGGTGAGCTTTAAGTTCCCTCCCAACCCAAACCATTCCAGGTTTCTGTGGTCCATGTGTATCAGACTGTTAACAATGCAGTGCCCCTTCCCTCCCTTCTCTTCCAGGGCCTCCCACAGCACACAGCCATCCCTGAAATCTCTGATCAGCCAGGGGCCATTCTCACCCCCACAAATATTCAGGGAAAAGCTGTGCCAAGGGCAGTTGTTACTGTAGAGCTGGAATTTTTGGTGGCTCCTTCTCCCAGTTCAAGCCATATCTTCTTTTTGTGACAGATACTCATAGACAGTGATTAAACTGCAGTGTGCCAGCAGAATTTGATAGCAGGACCTCTGCTCCTTTGCAGATGGTGCACTAGTGAATGAGCTCTACAGTTTGCTTCGTGACCAGGATCCTATTGTGGTTGTGAACTGTCTGAGGGCCTTGGAAGAAATCTTGAAGAAGGAGGGAGGAGTTGTCATCAACAAACCCATTGCCCATCATCTCCTCAACAGGTTTGTTGTCTTTGATACTGAGGAGGTGCTGGAACCTTCATTCTTGTTCTTGTGTTTTCTCTGCAGAGAGGGCATTTCTGGAGAGGACTTGAAGGGACTCTAGTCAGGCACCCAAAGATGGAGGTGCCCATCCTAAGATAAACTAAATGACTTTTAGGCTAAAGTCTTAAGAGTAATCTGGAATGCCCTGCTTTTCCAGGGAGTCTTTGCTTCAGCTGCTGGTTTATTTTGGAATTACAGGTTAATGTGATTAATTTTTTAGCGATAGTACACACGATATATTCGTAAACAGGTATGTTTTTAGTATGTCTCTCCAGATGCATTGAAAAATATATGACTTATCCTTTGCTTGAAGAAATGAACTTATCTGCAGATAATTCTGCATGAGCTGGGAAAAGAGGGGTGTTGCTCTGCCCAGGGTTCTTGTCAGTGTTGCTGTCTGGCCTAAACACCAGTAAGAGTGCACATGACTGATCCTGAGTTAATAACTGGGCAATTCTCTTGAGATGAAAGTGTGCTACCCCCTTGGTTTGGAACAGAGACCATAAGAAACTCAGAGACTGAGGCCTCTGCTCTGCACAGCCCAGATCCTCATGCACTCCCTGACTCCTGCACACTGTGTTTGTTGTCCTGGCAGGATGCCTGACCTGGATCAGTGGGGGCAGAGCGAGGTGCTCACCTTCCTGCTGCGCTACAAACCCCGCAGCGAGGAGGAACTCTTCGACATCCTCAACCTGCTGGATGGTTACCTCAAAAGCAGCAGCCCCAGCGTGGTGATGGCAGCCACCAAGCTCTTCCTGGTGCTGGCCAGGGAGTACCCAGATGTGCAGGCAGATGTTCTGGTGCGGGTGAAGGGCCCGCTGCTGTCTGCCTGCACCTCGGAGAGCAGGGAGCTCTGCTTCACCGCGCTGTGCCACGTGCGCCAGATCCTGGGGAGCCTGCCCGGCCACTTCAGCAGCCACTACAAAAAGTTCTTCTGTTCGTACTCAGAGCCCCACTACATCAAATGCCTGAAGATGGAGGTGTTGTGTGAGCTGGTGAACGATGAGAACGTGCAGCAGGTGCTGGAGGAGCTGAAGGGTTACTGCACTGACGTGTTGGTGGAGCTCGCCCAAGGGGCGATCTTCGCCATAGGTGAGAGCTGTGCCTCGCCTGGACCTTCCAGGGGGGCTGCTCTCTGCTGAACTGTGTCTGGGCAAACACCAGATCACTGATCTGTGCTGCAGCAGTACAGAGACCAACCTCCCCAGCAGTGTTTTGTGTCACTGTGTTTCTAAACCACGACTGGGCTGGTTCTTTTGGAAGCCTTGGCATTCAGAAAGTCCTTGAATCCTATTCTCTGATGAGATGCTTTAAAGAAATTGCATCATTTCATCTTGTTAATCAGCCTTATAGCATTCAGTGAAGCTTTGTAGTGGGTGGAGGAGCTCCAATACCTGCTTATTCTGTGAGTTGTGATGGGGGCAGAGTTAAGGGGATTTGGGGTGCTTTGGTTTTATTTTTGTAAGCTTTAAAATAGGTGAGTTTTTACAGTATTCATAAGGGTGAAGCTGGGGATGCTAAAGTGCTTTTCTTAGTGTATTACATTTAAGGAAAGTTCAGAAATCTTCTGAGGCATGGCCTCAAAAAAAGGAACATGTCCCTTGTGTGGAGAACAAGCTCATTCGACCGCACTTTCATAAGTGGTAGTCAGAAAGGAAAAGAGAGAGACTGTTTCTTTAAAATGGGTTTGTGATGAATAGTTGGGCTCATGGTTCCTATTTCACTCTGATAAAAGGTTGACTTTTATGTCTTTTTGGCATCCTTGCAGGCAATATTGCCAGGACTTACACAGAGCAGTGTGTGGGGATTCTGACAGAGCTCCTGGGCCTTCAGCAGGAGCACATCACTTCAGGTAACCATCTGCAGGCTGCTTACCTGGCTTGTGCCTTCAGGAATTGGCCTTGCTGGGGCTTGTGATCCCCAAATCAAGGCTTTTGAAGGCATTTGGCTTTTCATTTATTGGCACCTTCATGTGGAAGTTTTCCTGGTGGGTTTAGGGGTACTAAGTGTGTTCCTTCCATAGGAACTGCTCTTTGTGGGGAAGGAGGAGATGGTTGTAGCTGTGTTCTCAGTCCTTTCTGCCTGCCACCTGCTGAATTAGGGAGTGAGTGACTCAGCAGAGACATTTTAGTGTCTATTTGAGGGCCAAGATGATTAATAGATCTTTTAAATCTCTGTGATTTCTGTTCCTCATATAATAGTCTGATTCAATTGTACCCAGGCTTCTTTTTTTCTCCTGCTGCCCTCAGATCTACCTTCACATCACTGCTGCTCCTGCTGTTCTCTTTTAACTGCTCTGCTCTCAGTTTAAAAACCACGCACTTGCCCTCAGCTGTTGAATTCGATCTCAGGAGCTGCTGGTGTTTCTGAGTGGGCAGCAGAACCTTTACAATTTACGACCTAAAGTTCACGAGACTCGTTTTGAATTGGGGTTAGTTTTAATTTGTCATTCCAACCTCGTGTGTCTGAAGCATCGTGAGTCAGTGCCCTTTTAAAGGCTGGCAATGTCCAGAAGAGAGATTGCTTTCCAGCAGCCAGAGGAACAATCTGAAGCCTCAGTGCTTTATTTTAGACTCGATGCAGCTTTGCTCTGACAAACGCAGTGTCATGGGACTTGGAAGGAGGGTGTCTCAAATCATAGTCACAAGCAGGGCACTGACCTTCCTGGCTAAGATTTGCAGAATCTCTTGAACTGGGGGGGGTTGGATCGATTTTTTCTTTTTTCCCTCTGGTGGTTTTTGTGACTCTTGGGGATGCTGATAACTTGCTTTCCTTGCAGCGGTGGTCCGGGCTTTCCGGGACCTGGCTTGGCTGTGTCCCCAGTGCACAGATGCCGTGTGCCAGGCACTGCCTGGCTGTGAGGACACCATCCAGGACAGCGAGGTGAGGTGCCAGTGCTTGAGGATGAGTGAACAGTAACTGTTTGGTAAAAATCAGAAATCTTCAGCCATGTTCTCTCAATCTCTTTATTTCGCACCAGCACCGTCTTTCTGGCACACAGCACCCCTTTGCTGTTGTTTTCTGTGGTTCCTTCAGGGCAAGCAAGCACTGATCTGGCTCCTGGGCACGCATGGGGAGAAGGTCCCGAATGCTCCCTATGTTTTGGAGGACTTTGTGGAGAATGTGAAGTCAGAGATGTTCCCAGCAGTGAAGATGGAGCTCCTGACAGCGCTGCTGCGACTGTTCCTGTCCCGTCCCGCCGAGTGTCAGGACATGCTGGGCAGGCTGCTCTACTACTGCATAGGTGGGTTCCCTGCCTTCTGTTCCACTGAGGCTGTGGGACAGGGGTTTTAGGACCTGGTTTGGCCCTGTTCCCAGTGCAGGAATGCTGTGTCAGCATCCTGGCTCTGAGGAGACCGTCCAGGACAGCAGGGTAAGGTGGCTTTATGCCTTAGGCTGCATAAAACCCCAGAATGGTTTGGGTTGGAGGGAACCTTAAAGCTCGTCCAGTTCCACCCCCTGCCATGGGCAGGGACACCTTCCACTAGCCCAGGTTGCTCCAAGCCCCGTCCAACCTGGCCTTGGACACTTCCAGGGATGGGGCAGCCACAGCTTCTCTGGACAACCTGTGCCAGGGCCTCATCACCCTCTGAGTAAAGAATTCCTTCCCAATATCCCACCTAACCCTGCCCTCTGTTAGTTAAAAACCATTCCCCCTTGTCCTGTCACTATGCCCATGGACAGGCTTACACTGTATCCCTGAAAATCTGTTCTTAGTAACCAAGGGTTAGTACTCTGGGAAATGTGGGTGAAAGAATTATCCATAATTTCCGTCTCTCTGATCCCCAGAGGAGGAGATGGACATGGCAGTGCGAGACCGAGGGTTGTTCTACTATCGCCTTCTGCAGGCTGGGGTGGAAGAAGTGAAACGGGTCCTGTGTAGCCCCAAGTCTGACCCTTCTCTGGGGCTCCTGGGCAACCAAACCAAGCAACCTGTGAATGCTTGGGCTTGGGAGTTTAACACTCTCATCCCAGTTTATGGCAGAGAACGCTGGGCACTCGCCACTGCTCACCAGCCTGTGGAGCCCTCCTACTCTGGTCCTCCTTGTACTGACTCCAGGAGCAGAGACACAGGTAACCTGCCCCACCTTCCTCTGGGATCCATTTTCCCCTTGTCAGTAGATCACAGAGTCAGGGAGACACAGAGTGGTTTGGGTGGGAGGGGACCTTAAAGCTCATCTCATTCCACCCCCTGCCATGGGCAGGGACACCTTCCAGTATCCCAGGTTGCTCCAAGCCCTGTCCAACCTGGCCTTTGTGGACCTGTGAGCTGCACCTCACATGTTCGTGGTTTCCTTTCAGAGTCACTGATTTCTGAGGGGAATAAAGAAGTCCTCAAGGTTCAGCCCAGCACAGGCAGCCTGAGCCTGATTCCTGATGCTTCCTTGACTGCAGAACAGTTTGAGAAGACCTGGCTGAGCTTGGACACGAGCTGCCACCTCTCCCTGCCCTGGTGTGGGCCTGTCCCTCCAGACACCATACAGACAGCCCTTCATGTCGTCCACATCCAGACTATAGCCATGAGCAAAGCGGGTGCCCAGCCCTGGAAAGCTTATCTGAGTGCTCAGGATGACACAGGCTGCATCTTCCTGACAGAGCTCCTGCTCCAGGCGGCAGATTCAGAGCTGCAGGTGTCTGTGAAGCAGAGTGAGGCAAAGCCAGAGGCACTGCAGAGCTTCATCTCGGCCTTGAGGACAGTCCTGGAGGCCGTGGCTGGACTGGGGTCCTGACTGGTCCCTGCTCCCAGCAGGATGCCTGCTCAGGGCACAGGAAAAGTTGATTTCTCTGGCTTCATTTGCCATACCTGATGCTGGTGTGGTACTTTTAAACTGCGGGAGTGTTGGCAGCCCTTTCCTGGGCCTAGGAAGCACAGTGTGGTGTGGGGGGAGCTGCAGCTGGAGCTGGTGAAGGGTCTGCCCTCCCCCTGGGCTGGGGGAGGGTCAGGGTGGTTCTGGAGTGAGTCACACAACTCATCAGTGATGGTCGTCATGGGACACCAATGCCAGTGATGAAACCAGAACTGAGCAGAATTCAGGGATGTTCTTTGGAGAGTTTTTTTCCTGAGAAGTATAAATAATTTAAAGAACAGTTCAGAGGCACCAGGACTCTGCTACTTACCTCACATTGAGAGGAACAGTGCAATGAAGAGAGGAGTGTTTTATTCTTGGCTCCCTTTACATGTGATTTAGTTTTCTGTCTGATAGAAGGGTTTTGATGGGAGCTTCACTTAGGGGTGGACAGAGCTCTGCTGTGTCAGAGATGGGTAGACAGGGTACATCCTGCTCACTAGAACCAACATGTTTCACTTGCAATAGAAAGAAGCTGAAATGTGTTACTGAGGTCATGAATTGCCTCTTCTGAAGTTCCCCCTCAGCTCCCTGTGCTGTTGCCATACTGAAGAGACTCCTTGGCACAAGGGTGGTGCACACAGGTGAGGCACAGGTTACTCTGACAGGGCTTTGTGGTACTATGTAATGAGCACAGGCTTCTTTAACCCTGTTCTGTAAGATCTCTTGTCATTCTGAATTTCTTTTGTGGCTGCATTGTACCTTCAAATCATAGTATGCCTTCCATGCACTTCACTGGAACGCTGCTCTCACTGTTAAACAGCAAGTTTTAGACTTCTGATTTTCCTAATAAAAATGTGAACCTTCCTTGGCTGGTTTCTGGAGTATTTGTTCCTTCAACTCAGATGTGCAGGATGGAGTCACCTGATCACTGCTGTGGATCCACACAGAACTGCAGTCCAGCTCCTGCCTCTGTGTCCAACAGGGCTTTTCTCTCTGAACTTCCTTGAAGCAAAGCTTTAAGGAGCAATTGGCCAATAACACATTTCAGTCTCATTTGCCAAATTACTGTAACAGGTGAACCACCTCTGGGTGAACTCAAAGGGAGATCAAAGTCAACTGTAGCAGAGTTCCTGTTAACAGTTCCCACAGTGTTGTGTCCCTGTCTTTAGGGAGAACTGCACTGGAGCATTGGAATTATGCAGTTTTCAGCAAAAAAATAGGTGATAACTTGTTGGCAATCCATCATTTACCCTGCTGTGACTAGACCAAGTCTGGTCTCTGGGAAGGGACTTGGAGCTCCCAGCCTTTCATCCAGATCCCTTTCTTGATGAAGGAACAGGTCCCTTCCCACCCAAACCATTCTGTGCTCTGGGATCTGTGTGCTGCGTGTCCATCAGGGCTCCTGGCTCCTCCTGGAAACTACTTTCCCGATCCCTCAAGGCAAAACCTGTTTATGATTCTGAGCTAAAAGGGGGACTGTGGATTTTCCATGCTGGTTTAGAGACTCTTCCAGTCACAGCATATTCCAAGTTCGAAGCCTTTTCAGTGAAGTGCAGCCCCCCAGTGCTCACCCTGGCCCCCTGGCAGTGATGGCTGGACATGGTGCTCAAGGAATTGGGATGATGGGGTGCTCGGAGTGGTCTCCAAGGTGTGACCACCTTTGTGGCACAGTGCACACCCGGGGCACTCGTGCCCGCTCTCTGTGCCCGCCCTGCTGCGAGACCCCACATCAAGGGTGTGTGGTTTTAAAAGAGGGCGCCAGGGCCCCGTGCTGGGTGGTTTGTTGTGTTATTTGCCCACAGTATCTGCTACGTACTAATTTCCTCTCAGGCTGCTGATGAAGTCAGTAACCACAGCCCGTGCTCTGCTCCCGGCCGGCACCTTCCACTGCGCACGCACTTGACATGTCCCTTCCCAGCTGGGCCAGGCCAGGCACGCTCCGTCCCCGGCACCATGGACCAAAGGGAGATCCTGCTACAGAACCTGGAAAGGGCCCAAGGCAAGAAGCTCAACCGAGGGGAGTTTGCAGAGGAGTTTTTGGTAAGTTCCCTCAAGGCTCCGCTCGGTGTTTCTGCTCGTTTCGAAGGGAACCACTCAGCCACGGGGACAAGATCTGCGTGTGACACTGAGGTTGTCTAGGGGTTTTATAACAGAAAGTCACCCAGGAGTTAACTGGGCTAAAAGGAATGTAAAGACTGAGAGAATTTAATAGTTTGCATTCAAACTCTTTGCTTTTTAGCTAATTACCCGAGTGCTTCCTGTTTTCTGCTTTGTGAATGCACTTGTCAAGACACAGTTTCACTTTGCCTGGTAACAGAATGGGGGTACAGGGAGGAATATGGACCCTCTGCCCCTTCTCCCCATTGCCATCTGTTATACCTGTGACACGTGTGTTCCTGCCAGGGATCTCCAAAGCTCCTTGAATTAGCTTTTCCTTTTTTACGATAGAGCACAGGTTGCCCAGAGCAGCTGTGGGTGTCCAGTCCCTGGAATTGTCCAGGGCCATGTTGGACAGGGCTTGGAGCAACCTGGGAGAGTGGGAGGTGTCCCTGCCCATGGCAGGGGGGTGGAACAAGATGATCCTTAAGGTCCCTTCCAACCCAAACCATTTTATGATCTGGGATCTCTGCGCTGTATGACCAGCAGTGCTCCTGGCCCCTCCAGGAAACTATTTCTTGTTCCCTCAAAGCAAAATCTGCAAAAAGTGCTGATGGCTCCCACCACCCCCTGCATTCTGCAGTGCCCAGCTAGTTCAGATCTGTGCAGTGCCCTGAATTTGTGAGCTCTCTGACATGTTTTTATTTGTTGGGGTGGCAGGGGTGAGGCTCAGATGGCAATGCACCATCTCAGAGCTAAACCTGGTGGCTGGTGATGGCTCTTGGCGTGTCAGCTCTGGCTCTGGCAGGCTGTCTGGGCTGCTCTGAGAGGCAACAACATTGCCCAGCTTTAACAGACATCAGGAAGGGTAAACCTGGTACCTCTGTGAGATCTGAGACGTGTCAAACACCAGACTAAGCCCTGGCCGTGGCAGTGGGCTCTGGACACAGGGGTTACTAATGGGTCCCCACGAGATCCAGCCCCGCTTTGTTGTACCAGCCAAATCTGGCACTTCAAACACTCAGGAAAAGCTGAGTGCTTGGTTTCCAGGTGTCTGGGGTAGAGGGAAGTGATTAATCTGAGCCTGCAGTGACAGTCTGTTGTTCCATGGAACAAAGCGCTGTCACAGGCTGCTGAATTTCCCCTCTCGCTGGCAGGCTGTGCTTTGTGTGTGAGGCAGCAAGCTCTGAGCCCTGGTGCACAAACTGCCTCCAGCAGCCAAATGCATTCATTTCTGACCAAAATGGCAGGTAGAAGTGGTCAAGGCTGCATTTCCTCTTGTATGGGATAAGATCTTCCCAGCGTGACCCGAGTTGCCGCCGCTTTTGCAAGGCCGGGGCCTTTCCAGGCGATTGTGCTGGCTTGTGTTTCCAAACTAGATAGAAATGTTCAGTGCCATTTCTCCGTCCTAATTCCTGCCCTCTCCTTGTCTGACCAAGCATTTGTACATGCAAATTGTGGTGGTGCTACTGTAAATTACAGGGGGGCTGTTTGAGTCCCCTTTTCCTGCCTGTGCAGTCTCACAGATGGAGTTTGATCCTTACTGCTCTACACAGTTTCCCCAGGGCAGTGGTCATAGCCCCAAGGCTGGCAGAGCTTAAGGAACGTTTGGATAGCACTTTCAGGGACAGGGTGGGATTTTGGGATGTCCTGTGCAAGGCCAGGAGTTGGACTTGATGATCCCTGTGGGTCTCTTCCAAGTGGGGACATTCTGTGACTCCGTGATTCTGTGATTCTCACTTGCTGTCCCATATTGTAGGCATTTCCCAAGTGGTTTTATGTCAGATTATTCAGGGACAGAAAAGTAGGATGATTCAGAGCCTCAGCTCTGGGAACCCCATGTTCTTAATTAATAGAGGCTGGACATGTGAGCTGTCCTGGGCCTCCTGTACCTTCTCCCTCCCACATTCCATCAGGTCTGTGAGATGTAACTCCTGGGGTCTTGTGGCTGAATTTAGTGTTTTAAAACTGCAGTTTAATGTTAAAAACCAGCAACTCTGACTGAGACAAAAAAAATATAAAAGAAAAAATACAGCAAGGATGGTGCTTCTGAAGCTGATGGTAACAAATAGTGTGTGTTATTTAGAAGTTGATGGCAGTGAAATAAAATTTCATCATTTGTTAGGAGACAGATGCTTCAACTCTCTGTGAGTGCTTTATCCTGGAAATGAGAGAGATGAGAGATTTGCAGCCCTAAGGGTCTGTCCCAGGACTCCTTCTCCCCTCTCTTTCATCAGTCCATGTTGCTGCTCTGCTCTGGTTGCTCGTGCTCCCTTTGTGTTTGCAATCATGGATGGGGGCACCTTTACCAAAAGTGAGAAGAATCAATTAATTCATCTGTCTTTTCTGATATCATTTGTTCAAGGTAGTTTAACAGTGTCACTCCTTTTATCTGGGTGCCAACTGTACTGAGAGTAATTCCCCCGTGTCTCACTTGTGAGGGTGATGCTTTGTGTCACTTCAGGAGCCGACGTGTGGGCACTGCCTCAGCACACACTTTCCATTCTTCAGAAGCCTGTGCTGGGGCTCTCAGGTGGTTCTGTCTCTATTCTTGCTCTGAGTATCTCGAGAAAAGCCACTCAGGAAAGAATTAATGGTACTGACCTTGCTTTGTGGCAGCAAACCTGACCCCTGGAGACCTTCACACGCGCTCTCCAGTACTGTGCTGGATGTAACACCTCTGCTGTAATTTGTTCCATTCTTTTATCACAGAAGCTGAAAAGGCAGACAACAAAGTACAAGCTGGATAAAATCTACCCTACAGCAGCGGCTGAGCAACCAGAGAATGTCAAGAAGAACAGATACAAGGACATCTTACCCTGTAGGTTGGAAATGGCACATGTTTCTATTCAGCCTTTTGTTTTTCCAGCTCCAGTGTGTTCTCATCCTCCAGTATTCGCCTGCACAGTTGTTGTATGGGAGCATCTCACTGCTGGCTCTTGGCCTTGAATCCTGCTGTTCAGATTTAAGGTTTTGGCTGCTGCAGTCCATGCTCTGGAAGACTTTGGCACATATTGATGGTCTCAGGCACACAGTGTGATTTTTGGGGTTTTCCTGTGCAGGGTCAGGAGTTGAACTTGATGATCCTTGGGGGTCTCTTCCAGCTCAGGATGTCCTATGATTCTGTGATATTTTTAGAGACAGAAGAACCGCTGTTCTCTAGGAAATACATCCCTCAATGATCATCCTTGCAAGCTTTCTGGGTGCCATTGCAAGCACTGGTTTTCCAAGGCTTTCTAGAAAATGGCTTTGGACAAAGATGTCTCCATGATGTACAGGCAAAACCTGCTGTGGTTTGTCCTGGCTTCATGTGGTGGTCTCCAAAGGACACGCTGTCCCAGGATCAGAGCAGACTGCCCCTTTCATCCATCCTATCTTGGAAAAAAATAAATCAGAGAATAATTAAGGTTGGAAAAGACGTCCAAGATCATCAAGTCCAACCTTTGAACCATTGTATCTAACCCCACAGACCTGGTTTGAGCCTGTCAGATGCAGTGCTGGGTGATTTTAGGCTTGGCTTGCTGCACAGTCAGAGGGGCCAGTGTTGCACTGGGGTAGTGGCAGCACCAGCTGCTCTCCCCTAAGCCCTCACCCCCACCCCAAAAGGAGCTTGTCCATCCCCTGTGTGTGTAGGCAGCTCTGGGCAGGGCTGTGGGGAGGTGTGGGAGGGAACACCAGCTGCTTGCACAGCCACTCACCTGCTCTGGGATGAGCTCTCTGGTGTCAGTGCTCCTCCAAAGCACCTTGTGCTGCACCCCGAGGAGCTCAGCAGCCCTGACACACAGACACTGACTGCTGCTGCTTCTGCTTTTGTGCCTGCAGTTGACCACAGCAGAGTGGAGTTGTCCCTGATTACATCTGACACAGATTCCCATTACATCAATGCCAACTTCATCAAGGTATTGCCTCTTCCGTGGTGTTTTGCCCTGCAAAGGTGTTCGTGGGGTCACCTCGCTGAGTTGTGCCAGGAGGAGCAGGTTGGGGGCTCTGCTCAATGAAAGGACTCTGCAGGAGTTTCTGGGCTGTGCTTGAGGATAGCTGTGTACAACCAGGGAGCCCTCCAAAAAACACCCCGTGCAGCACAGAGCCACCAGGCCACAGGGCAAGGGACGTGTGCTTGCGCTGGTGGAACAGTTTGTGGTTGACAGCCCCGACTTCCTCGTCGGCGTTGCTGCCGGGGGTGGGTGACAGTGGTGCAAAACTGCCTGTGGCCAGAGTCACTGTGCTGGTTTAAAAGTTAACCAGCAGGGGAAATGAACTCAACTCAAAGGAGAGATTATAAGTCAGAATAACAATTTATTAAAATAATACAATAAGTACAATTATACAAACAAACAATTGGTCTTAACCCACAAAACCCAAAT